TGCTGAATAAACCAAATTTTCTAGATTGACCTGAATCTACGGTGGGTAGGCGAAAGTAGCTTCCTTTATAATACCTTAGCAAGACCAAACACATGAGTATATTATGATAAATATAGCAGTGCTCTTAAACATCCAAATTTGTATCATCCTGTAATTTATAAGTGTTATGCACTTGCATCGTGCAATATAATTTTGGTGTTAGTTATGTAGATAAATATGGCAGTTGAAGAACTGCACGTCTTAGTTCTGCAATTCAGAATGGATCTCTTCATTTTTACAAATAAAGTTATACTGTAGTTTAGCGGTCTATTAGTAAAACTAAATAATGTCCAAGTTGTATCGATGTTGTATAAATGAAAACATCAGAGTGTAAAAATGCAGTCCTTTCGTTGTTATGAATTTATTTCTAGTGCAATTTAGTTAGAGCGAAGATACTATGGTTCGAATAGATGAAAGTTGGAGAATTATGAGAATTGTAGTAGCAAAATTTCATATTTTTATGTATGTTGCAAATTGAGTTTACCAACGCTTTTGTTACACATGGGATTTAGTATTTTGGGATACGTTTCAATAAATCATAAAATACATTAGCAGCACAGCATAGTTACTCGAAAAGCGTTCACAATTCACACAATCTAAACAGAAGCATCCTCTGTTCTATCTAGTTGAAAGGAAATATTGTTTTTTTCTAGCTAAATTCTATGCATTCCGAGTAATATGCGTATAGCTTAAATCTATGATTTGTTGTGAACTCAAAAATATTTGTAATCGATTTACAAAGTTCCAAAAAACAAAATACCATAGTGTTCTATAATAAACGAAGTACACTAAATATATTTGGTTTAACCATTTCTACGGATACAGTGATTGAGCATGTACTTAAAAACGTCTTGCCTTATAAATTTAATTTTTTGTAGTGATATAGTCATAGATAATTTTTATTTATTTTTACGGTGTTTGATATATTGTAAATATTTTTTGTAACTACATCTAAACCAGCATAATTTAGATACAGTAGACATTCCTATTACACGATATACGTAAATACTCTCAGTCATTACATTGTTTTGTAGTTGTTGCTTCGTATGGCTAATGAAAATCTTCATTGTTTTGTCTTCTTTTGAAGTTCAAAGTTTTAGCTACGTCTCTTAACCCAAAAGATATGTATCTTGCCTCCTTGCTCCAGTGTTTTGTACAGAGTATAGGTATTTTAATAATTTGTAATAAAATATTTTATTGTCACATTACAAATTACGTAAGTGTACAGTTACGAGTGACTACATTACGTCACGTATTAAACATGAAAACGCAAAAATGTATAAATACCAAGGTGTGTGTCATTCTAAAATCGGTTGCAGAAAAACGTGGCAATAAATCTAAAGTGGTTCGTTTGATTTAGGTATATAGATATCCATATTTTTAGATTTAAATAATAATTCTGTTACTATAATTTAAATATTGATTAAACAATAAAAATATATTTTTATATTCTTCTGTGAAATTAACATAAAAGTATTTGCTCTCATGTTTGACATGGAAAATCACAGAATTGTTTCTTAATTATGAATAATACTTCAAAGTATGGATACTCTGTTACTGTGTGTGTTTTATATGAAACTAATTTTTCCCTAAAATTGCTTAAATTGAATGAAATATAAGAATATATATCTGATATATAAAGTACCATCTTTTTATAAAAATCTAACATTAATCTTTTAAAAATAGGGACACAAAAATAACAGAGTTGTAGGAACCGTAACATAGTTGTACTTTTATAACTAATTTATGAATATAATCACAAAACTTTCTTTTTATAATAATTAAACATAAAAGCTTAAAAAAAACAGTACGGTCTACCTGAGATCAAATTAAAATTAGTTAACACGTTCGCTGCCAGTAAAATGTTGTTACATGTCGTCAGGGGCCAAGGGGGTTTTTATTTTTTTTGCCTGAAAATTGCTTTAAATTATACTAAAAAAGAGATATATTGTAATTATCGAATATTTCCTTACCTGAATACAAATACTTTTTTTGGTCGCCAGATGGCGACACTGGCACTTCAGGTAGAATTTAGGACAAACCGCGTACGTAAAACTTATAAAAAATGTCTAACCTGTATGCCTATTCACCAATCCGAACTATATTAGCGAGCCATCTGAACTGCAGCATCATATAATAGTAGATCACATGCGTCGCCCTATGGCGACGGAGGCACAGCAGTCTGGACATCAGTGTCGCCAATAGGCGGCAGTGGCATTCAACGTGCTAACTGATTTCTTATTTATCAAATATTTATAAAGGATTCGGGAAGTGGTAATATACCCTTCATTACCTTTTTAGGTTCAGAAACAATTCTTATCAAACTTTCATATTGTTCATATGATATATCATTTTCGACCAATTTAAATGATTCTCCGGTGCCGTCAACAGACTTCAAGAATACTATTTTTACTTCTCCGTCATCGTAGACTTCATTTAACGCTTTTCCTACGTAAATATATTCGTTTTTAGAAGAGCAAATTTTTTACTGGAACGTAGACCCCTTCTTTGATTTTACTTTGATGAATATTCTCCTTCTCAATTAATTTGCTATCATCAACATTTTCTCGCTGAAATGAATGGAATAGATGCTTCGTAATGTCTAACAGATAGCGTTTTTGCATTTTAGACTTTTTATAGGTCGCAGTTTCTTTTTACCCGCGGCAGCCCTAGATACGTCGTGTAATTTAACTCACTTTTCTGATAATTTGGTTTGTGTTTTCTAAAATAACCCTGATTAGTATTTAAACAGTCTTTGATTATTTGCACTTTCTTCTTTAAATATATTTAAAATGCATCTCTCCTTTAAAGTTTTAATTTTCTTATACATGTAGTCAGTGGCCAAGGGGGTTTTTATTTTTTTTTTGCCTGAAAATTGCTTTAAATGATACTAAAAGAGACATATATTGTAATTATCGGATGTTTTCGTACCTGAATACAAATATTCTTTTGGTCGCCAGATGGCGACACTGGCACTACAGGTAGAAAATTAAAGTTGTAAATTTGTATAGAAGTATAGGCATACTTACTTAAAAACGCCGGTAACAGAGTACACACAAAATAAAACCACGAGTCTCACTTCACTGCCAACGGAAAAATGGTTTGTATAACCCCCCCCCCCCCCTCCGCCACCAATAAATTGTATTTACTAAGTATGAAACAGTTTGATAAAATGGTATCACCACATATGACTACTCTGTTATATGAAAAAATTGGTGATTAATCAATGTTAAGGGCGTTAGATGTTCAAACAGTTATTAAATAATGTGTCCTTTAACGAATCATCCTGTAATGATATAAAATGTTTCTAATACATCAGCGAAAAAATAGGGATTTAGTTTCGGGACATTATTTTCTGCAACCGATTTTATAATGACCCATATACAGGTGCCTGGGAAGGCTGGGAAATTTTGAAGCTGGAGATAATACAGACCAAAATATGTGAATTGACCTAAACATACCTTAGTCCAAAAGTTGATAGTTTGCAGGGATACATTGTGTTACAATTTTATTTTCTATTTTTCCTTATTGCTTGAGAAGTATTTCAGGGTTTGGCATAAAACTCGGTATAGAGAGGTTTCCTAGTATGAGAAACAAGAATCTGTTATTTTTTATGGCCAAATTTCTAGAGCGCGACACTTACTATTTCGGTAAATAACTTATCATAATTTTTTTGTGCCTCCCTGTATACAACAACTGACCGAAAAATCTTATTTTCTCGTGTATAAAGCTAATAGTGTTCGAGATATTTGTTTTTAAAAGTTCCAATGCATTATTTGTACCATGATGATAAAATATTTTTATAACATAATAATCAAGTTACTTTGGATAATATCTGGGTAGCGTTGTTATGGTTTCTAATTTTTGTCATAATATTGCTTTAAACTTCATGAATACTTTTAAGTTGACAGTAAGTCGTTAAACATCATGGAGTATACGTTTGATAAATATTCTCATATGCATTTAATGTACGGATTGGCAAGATGTAATGATTTAAATACAAGTAAACCATTTGTTTTCTGGAAATACGAGAAAATAAGATTTTTCGGTCAGTTGTTGTATACAGGGTAGCATAAAAAAGTCATGATAAGTTCTTTACCGAAATAGTGCTGTAAGTGGCGCCATCTGGAAGTTTGGCTATAAAAAATAACGAATTCTTGTTTCTCATTCTAGAAAACCTCCGCATACCGAGTTTTATAACAAAATTTCAAATACTTCTCAATCAATAAGGAAAAATAAAAAATAAAATTGTAACTTTGTATATCGCAAACTAACAACTTTTGGAATATGTTTAGGTCAATTTACGTATTTTGGACTGTAGTATCTCCAGTTCCGAGATTTTCCAAACTTTCACAGTTATACCATATTTAATATGGTCAAATTTAAAGTTTAAAACGTCCATAAAATTATCTTTCCAGAGAGTCAAAACAAATATATTAACTCGTCACCCATACACTATGCGGTAGTTAACAAATTATGTATTGTGTGTTTGGCTTCAGATAATTATATAAGAATACTGGGACTGAATATATTTCAAAAGTTGGAGTATTGGTCCAAGATTAATTCTACAAATATTTTTCTGCGGTAAAACCGCAGACCAGGTCTTTTTACACTCTGCGTTTGAATAAACTGCCCAGTCACATTGGAAAACTGCATTTTGATGTAAATAGTTTCAAATATGTTTGCTACAGGCAAATTAGATAACTAGGTCCCCAATTCTTTAATATTCGGTAATAGATGCAAAATGACTATTTGGTGGTATATGCAGTTATAAAATAGTACAGCGAAATCATTTTTTGAAACTACCTTGCGTAAAAATATCATATTATACAGAGTGAGTTTTCATAAAGTGAACTTATTAAATTTAGGGGAACTGCACCCTATTTCATCGACGGAAAAATTATCTTAAAAAATAAAAAACTAATTGATTTTTTATGAATATTTGCAAATGTTTAGTGGCAGCTGCTAACCCTATTGAAATAAATTGTTACAACTTTTAAACTAAATGTCCTATCATATTGGAATAAATTTTGTAGTGATAGCTATTGTGTCAATTTTGTAGTGATTGCTCATACAGTATAAAAAACGCCATAAATTTAAAATAATGAGGAATTTGATGAAAATCTGTTTTTTTTTCATCATTTTTACAATAATTTTCAAATTTCTGAAAATATCGTCCCATGTACTCTACCTTTTTTAAGTTATTCTACAGTCCTTGTTAAAAGTAGTCGACACGTGTAAGATCGGGGAACGCGCCGGCCACCCAACAGGTCCCTGTCGACCGATCCAGCGGCGCGGATAATTTTCATTTAGAAAAGACCTGACATTCAGCGAGTAATGGGCAGGACATCCATCCATTTGAAGCATTTCACATTCACAGAAAATTTCACTTGAAATGTTGAAGCTCTTTTCAGCTTTTGGGTACCACTTATGTAAATTAAGACACTTTACGATGCCGTCTCTCGTCAATTGAGATTCGTCTGTCCACAAAATTGTTTTCGGGAATTCGGGATTGCCTTTTGTTTTTATTATCCAAGTGGATATAACGCACCTTGTTGGCCGTTTCACATCTTCATGTAAGTGTTCAATAGCAACATCAATAATAACATCTTCATGACGATCTCTAGGCAAACCAAGTCCAGTGTTAGCCAGTCTTCTATGGAAGCACGTTGCGCCAATTTGGAAACGCAGCTAAATAAGCTGTGCGAGCCGCTCTAGCACTCTCTCGGTAGATTCCATAATAATAATGGATATCGGCAATGTGTGCAGAAGGAAAATCACTTACACTCGGCATCGCGACCAAAAGGAGGACGCGTGATACTTAGCAAACGAAAACTGATAGGGTTGACAGAAGAAACAAAAATAGCAGCGGCGAATGGTTCGGAGCGACTACTTAAATAAAAAACCTAAGATTCAATTGTCCTTCAACTGGGCCCGCCCCTCCATTCGTACTTCAGCACGCGCATCTACAATGACTCGACAAAAAAAAATGGTGTGCGGCAAAACGATGCTTTTTTATAAACACTCATAGAAATTGTTGTATTTGAGTAATAAATATGCAATTTTTACTTTTACAAAGCTAATACCATGTTCAATAACTTAAAATTAAAAAAGGTAAAGTTCATGGGACGATCTTTTTAGGAATTTTAAAATTATTATAAAAACGATGAAAAAACAAACAGATTTTCATCAAATTCCTCTTTATTTTAAATTAAAGGCATTACCTTTATAGGAATTTTTTACTTTATGTGCGCGGCCTATTATTAGCAATCGCTACAAAATTTATTCCAATATTATAGGACCTTTAGTTTAAAGGTAGTAACGATTTATTTGAGGTTAGCAGCTGCCACTAGAAATTTGAAAATATTCATCAAAAAATCAATTAATGTTTTTTTATTTTTTTGATAATTTTTCCTTCAATAAAATGGGGTCTAATTTCCCTGATTTTAATATGAGGACTCACACTGTCTAGGAAAGTTGGAACTCTACGTTTCAGAAACAATCACCTTTGAAACAAAATTAATTTCTGGTGATGCAGCACCGAAAACGTAATAAGAAATTGAAAAAAAAGTCGCAGCGTTACAAAGTGACGTATGAACTCAGGAATTCTCTTTAAATAAAACTTGGGGCTTAGAACCTACTGAATCCTCATTTTTTTATTATCAACAATATGGAAAACACTTCCAGAAATGCGAAAAAGCTTGCCGAACATTTCTACATGTACCCACCAAATAGTCAAATAGTCAACAATAAAAAAAAGCTACGATTGCTGACGAAATTCCCCAATGTACGTATAGAGCACGGCTTAATACTAATATATGGGATTCTCTTGTAAAATAACTATGTGAAATTGTAAATAAAACGAGAAATTGAAAAACCTCTTCTTAAGAATTTATGCATATTGTGCGTAACGTACCTAAAACGTATAGCTTTAGTCATGATAAGGAAAAATTGAAGGCATAATTTTAAATATGTATTTTGATTTAGTTGATTGAAACGAAAGTACAACAGAGTATACGGTAAAATGTACTAGTAGTATGTAATAATTATGGCACAAAGGTAACGGAACAAGTACCTTGCAAGCCAGTGTGTTTGGGCTACAAGTATTGGGATACATCACGATTGGACATTGCTTCGAAAATATTTCCTATGGTTTGCTCGTCCATTTTATAATTATTTTTACGTTAAGAAAATATGTTGTTGTTCATCACATCTCCTCTACTTACTTCTCACACTTCGGTACATCAGTCACTACATTGATCCATTTATCAAGAGTTTATCATTTGAAGCTTAATGTTACTTAATGATAGGCCGTAGTTAATATAATTAAAGTGCGCATTCCTGAACCAAATTCAAGTAGAAACAGTTTGATCAGCACATGTCATATAAAATATGATTTTTAAGGTGCAGGATGTCAAAGTCTGGAAAAATCTGCTTCTTGACAGAGAGAAAATGATAGCAAAGACGGAAAGTCAATATTATATTGATAACAATAACGTGCCAAGAAACAATAAGATTTTGTATAAGACAATCCTACAATTTGGGCTGCAGCAATTTTTTTTGTGGTATTGTTGGATAATGGGATAGGGCTGGAGAATTTTCTTCTATTTTGAAAAACACGTTGGATCTAAAATCTCGAAAACCATCAACCCTAATCAAAAAGCAACAGGAACAGGGAATTATATTCTTCATCATTTTGCTTCTATCAAAATTAGTCGTATAGTTACGGGAGACTTAGAGGTGGAGGTGCATGTAATGAGATTTTCGCGTATAATTTACTTTCGCCAAAATTGTAGGAAAAAATACCAATTTCCTAGCCTCCAGAATAAAATTCCGTAGCAACAATTAAAGGCGATTTTTATTTTAACAATCTTTTGACATGTAATACTTTTTTTAAGAAACTAAGAGATACCAAGAGACAAAGAAGTTGTATTATTATCTATGTAATAAAAAAATGTTTTATGTAAGTGAGTGACGTTCATTTTTTTGTCAATATTATTCGTATGACTGCCCACCGGGACACCATTGGGACTCATTAATATCTTGCCAAAACTCAACAAAATCGGCACAAGGATATTTTGAGATATTAAAAACCAATCTGATTCAAAACTTTGACGACCTGTGTCTTGGAAACCTGACTTATTAATAAACATATTTATATGAGGTTTTCTACATAGTTTTGTTTTGTCATTACGGCCTATCATTAAGTAGTACATTGGGTTATGCAAAGAATTTAAACTCTTATTGAACTGTTTCTGATATATCCTTGTTAATAGTGTGTCTTCTGGGAGCATGTTTACAGTAGAATTTGAAGATAAGACACTAACTGATTTTCCCAGATATTCACGACGGCAGCTGTTAGGCAAACTATATGAAATAATTTCCGACTAGAAGTAATGTCCGTCTTTAAGAAATATTTGTAAATAGCGCTGTAAAATTCCTCTAGACTATAAGGATATAGAATGTATACTGTTTATCTAGGTATATTGTTTGTTTGTTTTTTGGTTTTATATAAATTTTTGTTGCTTATTGTTGCTCAATATTTCATTTTTCAGTATGTAATATACGCTCTTTATCTTCTCTGTCGTCTATGTGTGACTGTAATTTATTTTAATAAAAGTCATGTTCTAAAAATATGTTTCAATTCACCTATCGGATCCTTTCAAAACCAGCTGCGCCAAGTGGTTTATATCGATTCAGCCGTCAAGGCAGAGCCTAAACAGTGAGGTGCGGCAACTGCTACAAAGGTAAAATATATTTTGTTAATTCAATTTTGATCTTCGTAAGCAGTGTGGAAGTTGGAAAAAATTTTACCACAATCTCGAGCCTTTAGGAGCAACTGAAAGGCCCAGTTCCTTGTACAAAGAGTTTTTGAATTGGAAAACGAAAAGCATGAGGGGTGAGAGAAATAGGAAAGATACGGAAAAGCTGGCGGTGTTGGTATCACAGTAGCTAAAGCAAAAAAAGCTCAAGGTTATTGCGTCAAAATGGTTGTTATGTTTTTTGCGCCGTGGAAGAATAGCTTGAAATAGGGAGTGTGACATTTCCGCAAACAGGTGAAGACATAAATTTGCAAATAAATAAATAAATGTCGTAAGCAGTACATTGTATGAAAAAGGCTTCCAAGGTGGCCAAAACGTCAGTACTATCTTCTTTTGTGACTGATATTTTTTTAAAGACCCACTGACTCTTATACTGCAAAAATATTGATACCGTCTATATAGACGATATTTATTTGTGAAAACGAGAAGAAATTATATTTGCGCCAAGAGAACATGATCATAGGAAATTTTTATTGTTTTAACCCAAAAATTTTCCGCATTTTTCAATCCCACACGTATAAGAACAGCTATGCAATTACCGTCTGTCTTCCTGTTACAGCGAAAATATGAAAATTACTTAAAATCTATTCAAATTTCAGCGAATAATACAAACGACAGTGAATTTGAGTAGGGTTTAGTTACATCTTCTAAACTTCAGCATTCTGACATATGAAAGGGTGGATAACAAATTGAACATAGGGAATAGTGAATCTGTTTCAAATCAAAATTATTAAATAAAAATTTATCTGGCTTGAAATGTCATGACCACTAGCAGTCATATTGCGTGGTTCATCGTATATCGAAGACTCCATAAAAGGTAATACACATACTATACTAAGTGACATATAAATCCGAACACCCAGTTTAAATGGTTTTATTTTAATAAAATTTTGTATAAGTACTTAATGAAGCATAATAAGTAAATGATAAAACTTTCAAAATGATTGCACTGCTTTAAAGCCCTTTGACCTTTAATAATGTGTGGATGCACCCTGATGTGCTACGCATCCTCCAACGCGCCTAGGCATGCTTCTGATCAGGTGGTCAATGTCCTCCTGTGGTATCTCATTCCATGCAACCACCAACTCCTCTCGAAGTGCTTCTAGAGTGTGAGGAGGACGTTGCAAATTGAGCAATCTCCTACCCATCATATCCCACACATGCTCAATTGGGGATAAGTCGGGAGATCTTGGTGGCCATGGTAACAATGTGACATCATTATGTTGAAAGAAGTCTATTGTGACTCTTGCAACATGTGGCCGGGAATTATCTTGTTGGACAGTTGGATCTGCCAGGGTGTCAAGATAGGGTAAAAGATGGGGTTCAAGAACTTCGTGGATATAACGCTGCGCGTTCATGTTACCTCTGATGAAGATTAAAGGTGACCTGGAACCATAAGCTATAGCACCCCAAACCATAACAGTGTGATGAACATGTCTTTCAACAAAAAACTGTGGATTCCTCCTTTCACCACGTCGTCTTCTAACCCTGGCATCCTGATCCCAGAGTGACCGTTGTCTGCACCACTCAAGGCGATTACGTCGGTGTTCTCGAGTTAAAGGGAGGACCTAGTGTGGCCGGTATGAAAACAAGCCAAAACTTCTCATTCGTCGGTAAACACTTCGCATGCCAATAGGTCTTCCGTGTTCTGCAAACCATTCATTTGCAATGGACCTGGTAGTGGAGAAACGGTCCCTTAAGGCCAATAATCTTAGGCGGCGATCTTCACGGTCTGCTGTTCTACGGCGGCGTCCAGTGCCCCTTGCTCTTTGCGTACGGCCTTCTTGAAGCCATGCCTGACAACACCTAACCACAGTGTCTACACTTCTTTGCACTCTAACTGCAATTGCCCGAAAACAAAGTCCAGCTTCCCGAAGTCCCACTATACGGCCCGTATCAAACTCACTAAGTTGACGAAATCGTACAGGTCTTCGTATTCTAGGCATCGTAACCGATCCTAAAGGATGTCAAGAACCAAAATCCGCCAACGTTGATTCTTTACTGCGGCTGATATATGCATTTTTAGAGCGTTAGTGAATTAAAAAAAAGCAGTATAAAAACCGGAATGTCCAACTGATAAGGCTGAAAATTTTTTCACTTGTTATTTACAGTAAGATGAATACATTCACCAACTTTTATTGAAATAAAACCATTTAAACTGGGTGTTCGGATTTATATGTCACTTAGTATATACATATATGCCGCACAAATCAAACACATGCATCACAAGGAGGTAAAGGTGACTTTAAAAGTTTCTGGCCTAGCACACAGAAGGCGTCGCTATCAGAAAACATACTACTTTGCTGTACTGCTAGACAGTTTCTATGACATGCTCAGTATCAAGCTGATCTGAAAAATGGTTTCCTTTTTACTGTGGTTTGAAGCAGACGTACTCTGGGTTATCTTCGAAAATGGCAAAAATTCAAAAGTACGCACTGATTAAATATTTGCATAGAGACGGATTGAATGGGAATGACATTTGTATTGATATGGTGAATGTATCATAAAGTGATGTTCCTTCACGATCAACAATATTTAATCGGATTACTGAATTCAAACGTGGTTGTACAGACATCAATGACTTAGCGTGCAGTGGACGTCTGAAAATTACTACCGACGATCATTTGTGATACTCTGGTACCAGAAAGGAAACGAGCAGCGAAACATACCGCACGCCATTGTCAACGCGGCATCTCTTTGTATTGATAGAAATGGCGAGCGGGTATCCCGCCATATTCGAAGAGCATGGGCGTGCGATGTGTTTTGTGGCTCTCTTTCTTCTGGGAACAGGAGTATAATTCTATACACGATATAATAATAATAATAATAATATATTTCCATTCGACTTGTACAAACAAGTATGGGAAAGTGTCATAAATAAATAAACATTACACTGAATGGGTTGAATCTACATATAGATATGTATATATATATATATATATATATATATATATATATATATATATATACTTCCGCATCTTAAATTTACATAAATAAATCACGTCACATTATTAAAAACATATAGTATATCTAACAATATTAGAGTACATAAACAGCATGACAAGAGCGCGATAAAATGTAAATTAAAATTGATGGTTGAGGTACTCGTCAACAGAGTAAAATGGATATAGCAACAAATCACGTACTTTGCGTTTGAAGACTGAAATAGATACTATGCCCTTAATCGACACGGGTAAGTGATTAAACAATCTCATAGGCATGACAGAAGCCCCTTTGGAGATAGAGGCAAGCCTGTGAGTAGGTATAACTACATTGTGGTTTCTACGGAGGTTATAACCAGAGCTGATAACCACATCATTTCTGGAGACATAGCTTTCGTAATTTTCTTTAACATAAACGACACACTTATAAACATACAAGGAGTATACTATCATGATCTTCAGGTAACTGAATAACTCTTTGCAGGAATGCCTGGAGTTTTTAAGCAACATGGTTCTGATAATCGTTTTTTGTACTATAAATAATTCACCAACCCTGTTACTACCACCCCAAGCAACAATGCAATAGCTTAGTGTGGAATGGACGTGAGCGAAGTAGTAAAGCTTTAATATTTCAGTACTTACGTGACGTCGAAGCTGCCATATAATGAATGATTGGGTTGACAATCGCTTGATCAAACACTCAATATGTTTACCAAATGTTAGCTTAGTATCTAAATAAACACCAAGGAATTTTGTGTAGTTGTTCTGTCTTAAGTTATATCCCTCACCATAAACACGTAGGCTGAAATTTAAATCTATATTTCTGAATAGAACTACATCAGTTTTTTGTGAGTTTAAGATAAGGCCATTGGAGTTACAATAATTTCTCATTTGACAGAAAGCATTATTTGTAAGTGTACCCAATGAGTGAGGATAGGAAGCATGAGTACTGAATGTAGTATCATCTGCAAAAAGTGTTTTGAATACGCCAGGACAAGACGTCGAAATATCGTTGACAAACAAAATGAATAACAAAGGTCCTAAAGTGCTCCCTTTAGGTACCCCTGTTGATACTATCTTGGCATCAGATTTATATGATTGAAAGTTATTAGTGATTTTTACTGATATAGTTTTAGATAATAAACGAATGACTGCTGAGGTTGTGTGCCCGTCAAATATGATGTTGTATTATTCACTTTGTGAAATATGAATCTTAGTCCAGAAGGCGACTGGCAAATATCACAAATTCTATACGTCAATTTATAGTCCTAGATTAGACTTAGGTTTAGTACTATGACCCTAGATTGCGACATCAAAATTGCAGAGTGGAGTGAACCCGGTTGTTCTGCTGTGAAGCAGGCAAATCTTACCTATTTTGATACCAAATAGCAAGACTGACTTGGTTTGGTATTTGCTCATATACGTCTCGATATTTTGCCAAGAGTGTTTCACTCATAGGTGCCAAACTGATATAAAATATTTAGAAAATGCCACATTTATACTGAAATGAGTAAACCTAACGCCTTAAGCCCCTGCTGCTTAGATATCAATCAACTATGTCAAATACACCGATTGGTCAGACAAACAAGTTGAAGTTACATAAAAAATCTAAATTTCAAGTTTTTGTTACTAAAGTAAATAGGGTGATATTCCTCGTTAGGCCTTAAAAGTTCAATAGATATGTGATAACAAACAGGCTTTGAGGATAGCTTCTGTTTACATGCAACGCACAACTTTATTGAATGAAAAATATATTCCGTAGGTTGCAAAGGGATGATAAATATCCCCACCATGAACAAATGTAAATTTGAACTAAGCATGATGGGGAACTGACTTGCAGCTTCCAGCATAGTCACTGAGGGTGTCGTATCATTGAGAGATTCCTCCATAGATGGACGCTTTTGATTACTCTCATAGCGAACAAACGCGGAATGTGCTATTTGCACACTAGCAACTACTAGCAGCTATCTAGTTAGCGAGTTGTAATTTTTTATGCTCTATAGGTTTTTTATGTAGCAGCCCTGTGGAATGGCTTGTAAACCCAATATACACCAGATTTAAGAAGCCCAAATTAACAGGTCATTATAGCCGTAGATGGACATTTGGAAGATTTGACCGACACTCACTTCAAAGAATCAAATAGAAAGTAGTTGGAAAAAAGTGCAGGAACTGTTGAATTCACCTCGTACGCTTCTGTCTATTTTGATATTTCGGACGTGACTATACAGGGTGTTCCATAATTATTGCGACAAAATGATAGGGGTTGTAGAGGGCATAAAAATATGCAATTTTGCCTTATAAACCCCTGTTCGTAAATATGCCGTTTGAGCACTACCGCTAATTTTACCTTAAGAGAAACAAAAAATTCAACAGCTGCAAAATGTTCGTCTAGCACATTTCATGGTCTCGCCGATTTGTAAAAAAAAGCCTGCTGTGTTTACATTTTTGTTATCGTAAATTCTCCACACCGATTCATTTAATTTATCCGAGTGGTGCGTCAAACTAGAGGCCAATCCGCGTACAAGCGTGCGTGCTATTGCACATGAAATGGGAGCGTCTCAAACTACTGCTTGGCGGGTTCTCCATGACCAGCAACTACACCCATACCACCTTTTAAAAGTCCAAGCCATAGGTCCAGAAAACTATCTGCCGCGTCGACGTTTTTGTCGTTGGTGGCTGCAGCAGGAGTTGAGGCAACCAAACTTTGGTCGCTACGTTTTGTTCACTGACGAGTCCTGTTTCACAAAGGAAGGTTATTTTAATAGCCGTAACAGTCACATTTGGGATGAAGAAAACCCTCATGCCATAGCCATCCATAGAGACCAACATAGTTTTCAATTAACATCTGGTGCGGCATTGTGGACGAGCATATCATCGGGCCATATTTGCTTCCACCACGTTTAATGTATATGGGCATGCTTATGGTCGATTCTTACAGCACGTGCTACCGGAACTATTAGAAAATGTGCCACTGAACATAAGAGCCAACACGTGGTTTCAATACGATGGCGCTCCAGCCCACTTTTCATTACAAGTGCGGCAGTATTTGGACGACAAATAGGTGGATCGGCCGAGGTGGCCCTGTGCCTTGGCCTGCGCGGTCACCCGACCTGACCCCACTGGATTATTTTCTCTGGGGCCATCTGAAAGCTGTAGTGTACGAAACTACTGTTCCCAACCAACAAGAGCTACTGGCAAGAGTGATGGCCGCGTCCGCACATGTTCAGGACAAACCGGGGGTATGCCACAGAGTTCGCTGATCATTGAATAATCGTGCACAGCTGTGTATTGAGCAAGGTAGAGGACACTTTGAGCAATTACTGTAGGTAAGCTGTTTCAAGAAACTGATCTTTTTTTTTGCTGCATCCCAAACGGCATATTTCCGAACAGGGGTTTATAAGGCAAAATTGTTCAAATTGATGCCCTCTACAACCCCTATCATTTTGTCGCAATAATTATGGAACACCCTGTATAGTCAGCTTCATGCCTTGTCGAGTTGGAAACAACCAAAAGCGTATCTGGAGAATTTCCCTTGATGCATTTCAAATTAGATTACAACAAAGGCTTGTGCAAATAAGAAATATTCAAACCTTTCCCCAGCCGTCCAGGGGTAGTATGGGCCTGCGAGGAGCAGTAGACTTATCACTTGCAGACACCAGGGCAGATTTATAGGGCGTAACACGGCACATAAAAGTGTATGCAGCCGTTCTGCGAGCCAAATTAATTCAGGGAAGAACAAATGGCTGGCCGTATGCACCTTGGAATCAGTCCTAGGAGCCTTGCCAGAGCTTCACCTTTCACACCTTTAAATTATCCGCGCGTTTTGTCCACTTCGGATTAGGGTGGGCATATCTCACTTTCATGGACACGGGAATTGAATGGGTTGAATGGATGTCCTTCCGGCTTTTGGTTCATCGGGCAAGCTATAAGTTAACAGGGCAGATGTGTCAGAGCTGCAGGAATTTGTCAGGCTGGATAGTACGTGAAGAAGAGATGAACGGTGGATCATTTTATGTTATGTTACAGTTTTTTTTATGGACGACTAAAAATTAACTATGTCTGGATAACGGAAATTATCACAACGTTTTTCTTATATAGAATAATAATTTTAAGCAGTTCTTAAAAATATCGGATTCTATTGGTCTAATAATTTTATGATCGAACATCATACCCTACTTTCCATCTCGTTAAAGGTCATTTTTATAATTTCTGTCGACCGTACATGCGAGAGCTGAAGGTCACTTGGGCTATCTCCGGTGCTCTCGTGTAGGAACTCAGCGGCCCACTACCCGATTTTGTGAATAGTTTCACACGCAGTGTTGCGTGTTTATCGGGTGGTGGAGATTTTAATAGAAATCGGCCTCCATTGTTTGTTTTGGGAGCCCTTTTTTCACCCTCCTGGGGAGTTAGCCGTAGGCATAACTACACTCAGTGACCATTTTCTTCAAGCCACGTATTCCGAGGCGAATTTAAGTAGGACTCGAGCCTGTGAGGAGCGGTTTCCTATTTCTGTGAACCTCATTGTTCGAGGTAATTATGATTTTTTTTTATTTTACTAGGCCTGTCGTAATCTCGTACAAATTGAAAATACAACCACTTTGTTCAAGAATTCAGCATAATTTGTGCCAGTTTAGGCATTCTTATGTAACATCACGGTTGTACTTTAACCAATTAATTATCCATTGTTAAGGTCAATATTGAATTCGTTAAAAGCTATTAATTCATCATCTTGTTTAGTAGTAAAAAAGAGAGAATTGTTTTGGATTTCTCATTGGTAACATATATATATGTTCTGTATTATAGCACATACTCTAAAAAATAATATAGTGTTATTTTTATATTGCTGTAGCTTCTGATTTTGGATGTATATTTACTGAAATTTGAGTGAGCCATTCTCACGAAGTCAAATATTCATGTCGTTTTCAAGTAACATTTTAATTGCTTTACTTATAGGCTGAGGGACGACATGAAATATTTTACCTCGGGGTCCTGGTGATCTTTTACAGGTATCAGATTATTTTAATCTGGTTCAGGTTAATTTGAAAATTTGGGTATTGCTAGTGCAATCACGATTTTCATTGTACCATGATTGAATAGCGATTTTGTTTTAATTTTAAATTTTTGAATTGATGTAACCCAAGACTAGGTTCCATGTTAGATTTAAATTTTTTATTCTTGGAAGCAAATTAAAAGGGGGGATTAGTAGTCACATCGTTATTTCGGATTATTTTTTAACAAGTAGTTTTTTCTATTTAGGGTTTTCTATCTACGAGTTCTACCTTCGGGTATAGTTACATCTAGGACTTCCTGCCCTCAGTTGCCTTCCTGCGATAGGCAGGTTTTGTTTTTTCAAACCATTTAGCTGGGGGGGTGGGGGGATTTTTTTATTTCTTTTGTTCAATAAATGTTTGTGTACCTCGTAAGTTTGTATCTCCTGCCAGAGGTCCATCATTGGTTACATGTTATTTCTTTTCCTAGTGCTTGGGACTAGGTGGTGGCCAAACCACAACCATTTGCATCCAAAACCAAAGAACAAAGAATCTCGCTCTGAGGTCTCATCTACCATACTGGCTCGTTCCGGGGGCATAACAGTTATTACCAGTTCTTTCGTTAGGTATATCCACCAAAAATAGTGGTGTGTAGTTCGCGAACAAACTAGTTCGATCGAACGATTGTTATGATTGAACTAAGTGAACTAGTTCATCACACCTTGAAAAATTCGTACACTCGTTCAGTACGAACGGCTGATATTACAAGATCCTCATGAACTAATCGAAGTAGCTGGGTGAACGAACGAGAACGAGATAGGAGAAATGAGACCGATCCACAACCGTAACCAGAAGGTTTTATAGCTGATTGCCTGGAAGTTATGAAAAAAAGATGACAAATGCTGCTAGTCATACAAGTTGAAAGAGATAAAAATATGCTAACTTTTATAAAAAAGGGTCACCCATTGAGGCTCACGAAGAAATTAAAACAATACTAAAATTAAAATGTAAAATAACTACAAATTTCCGTTTAAAACATTATTTTTTTTAGCTTTCTGTCGCTTAAAATGTCAGCGGTGCCCTTAAAGGCACGGCTGCCGGATGTACCCCGAAATGATTAACGTCTAAATATATTATTCGACTCGTTTTCTTCATCATTTTCCCTACTGAGCGAGGGCCGTGGCAAATGCTTGTTCCGGAAGTTGTTGTATCCAGTATACAACTTCTTCCCGTCCAAGTGATTGTGCACGTGTTAAGGAATACCTCAGTACCGATTGCCGGGTGGCGGTACAAGTCCGCCAACGGGCCACTTTAGGTCTATTTAACATCACTAACACGTAAAAAGAAGGTGGTAGACAAGGACCAGTCGACCGAGGTAGTACCACCCGCTAGCTTTTCCCAGGGTGTCTTATAAATATCCGCATGTGTCCACACCTAAGCTATGCAGTCGGTTATCTACCAAAACAAAGAAATTAATGATGATGGATCCCTCGAGCACTAAAAACTCCGGACGTAAATTCACTCCACTCTCGGAATGTCCGGGTGGAGGGTGGGCTCGAGGGAATAACATCGAAGATAAAATTTGTTTCTCGAATATCTGCGGGATCAACAGCAACATTGATGCTGTTCATCACTACCTGCAATCCAATCGTCCCGCCGTGCTTTTCTTGGCGGAGACAAAAATCTCAGAGACTGCACCGATTAACCATCTCAACTTCCCAAACTACGAGGTGCACTCCAATCTGAGAAAGAACGGGGGAGTTGTGGCTTTTGGCCGCAGCAGTCTTTCCTGCTCCAGGGATCTTTCTTTGGAATCAGACCGGAAGGACATTCTGTGGCTTCGCCTCAACTCCAAAACATCACCCAAATTTATTTGCTGCCTTTATCGCTCTCCCTCGAACCATAACTGGGATGACCTACTCGAATACCTCAACGTCCAAATCGACTTCCTGAACATCAATCATCCCGCTTCAGAGGTAGTTCTTGTCGGTGATTTCAATGCCCATAATGAGCTTTGGTTGGGCTCAAATAAGACCGATGCAGCAGGTCGTGCAGTCGAAGCGTTCGCTCTTACTCAAGGGCTGACCCAGCTGGTGACGAGCCCTACTTTTTTCCCCCGCGTCTCGTCACACGCCAGTAGCCTGCTGGATCTCTTTCTGACCACGCATCCTGCCCCTTACAGCACTGCTGTCCTGTCCCCCCTGGGTAACTCAGATCACGGTGTTGTGGAGGTTAGGTTTCGGTCAGAAGCCGCTTTGGCAGCAGAAACTCGCACAGGCCGCAAAACTTGGCATTACGGACATGCCGACTGGGAGGGGCTCAGAGACTTCTTCTCTAGCTTTCCTTGGAGAGATGTCTGTTTCACTGACGCGGATGCGTCAACTGTCTGTTCTTCAATAACCGAAATTATCCACGTCGGAATGGAGGAATACATCCCTCACACAGTGAAAGTTCCTAAACCAGGATCCAACGGCTGGTTCAACAAATCGTGTGACACTGCTCGCCAGCAGAAGATTAAGGCCCACAGAACCTACTTACAAACCCCACTGTAGAGAACAGACAAGCCGACGTCGAGTCCAAAAACAAATATAACGAAGCGGTTCGCAATGCCAAAAACCAGCATGATATAAAAGTTAGGCACAGGGTAATGTCGCAACGCAATGGCAGTCGGTCTTTCTGGACGCTGGCCAAGCAGATTAAAAAGAACTTCTCACACAGTAGCCTTCCACCACTTACGTGTCAGGATGGAACTATTGTATTTGACTCAAAGGCCAAGGCGGAAGTGCTAGCCAAGATCTTTGTTGCCAACTCCACCATGGACGTCCCCACCAACGCCCAAGTGCCATCAATTCAAAGGGTTCCCCACACTATGCGGGAGGTAACATTCAGGCCCAAGACCGTAAGACGAGTGCTCTTGTCGCTCGACATCAACAAAGCTTCTGGCCCGGACTTGATTCCTGCCATTGTACTGAAGAGATGTGCAGCGGAGCTTGCTCCAGTTCTTTCGCGTCTCTTCCAGATATCTTATGAATCCGGCACCTTCCCAGAAAACTGGAAATATGCTCATGTACAGCCCATCCCAAAAAAAGGATCTAAGGCCGACCTTTACAACTACGGGCCTATAGCTCTGCTTTCTGTTATAAG